ACAATTGTGTCGGATCGTGATAGTCGTTTCACCTCAAGGTTTTGGAAATGTCTACAAGAGGAAATGGGTACCAAGTTATGTTTAAGTACAGCTTACCATCCGCAGACTGATGGTCAGAGTGAAAGAACGATACAAACACTTGAAGATATGCTGAGAGCATGTACCTTGGAATTCCTAGGTAATTGGGATGAACATTTACCGTTGGTAGAATTTTCCTATAACAATAGTTTTCACTCGAGCATTAAGATGGCACCTTACCAAGCTTTGTATGGACAAAAGTGTCGTACGCCGTCTTGTTGGCTTGAGGCTGGGGAAAAGCAGTTTATGGGACCGGAGATGGTTCATCAAACTGCTGAAAAGTTGAAAATAATTAGGGAAAGAATGTTAGCAGCTCAGATCGTCAAAAGAGCTATGCTGACAAAAAGCGAAGACCGATGACTTTTGAAGTTGGGGATTCGGTTTTGCTTAAAGTCTCGCCGTGGAAGGGACTTATAAGATTTGGTAAAAGGGGAAAGTTGAGTCCAAGGTTTATTGGACCGTTTAAAGTTCTTCAGAGGATTGGGAACCAAGCTTACAAGCTCGAATTACCAGAAGAACTGAATGGAATTCACAACACTTTTCATGTGTGTTATTTGAGAAGTTCACGGGGAAGTTCCCGACATGATTCCACTTTCGGAGTTGAGAATCGATGAGAACAAAAGGTTGATTGAAGAACCAGAGGCAATTGTTGACCGAAAGACTAAGAAGTTGCGACGCAAGATGGTCGAGTTAGTGCTTGTCCGATGGAAACACACGAATGGGCCGAATCTCACCTGGGAGACGGAGAGTGACATGATGGGTCGCTATCCGCATTTGTTTGTTGAAGTGTGATTCCGGGGACGGAATCATTCTAAGGTGGAGAGAATTGTAATGCCTGTGTTACTGGGCTTGCCATTTTTAGCAATGTGATAGTCTAGGTTAACCTTTGTAACCCGTTTTGAAATAATAGAAGTGTATTATTTGAGTATTATGTGTTTTGTGCTTAATTGCTTAATTATGTGGTTTGATTAATTAAGAATAAAAATAAGCGTCAAAATTTAAGTGTAAATAAACTTGATATCTTTAGATAATGTTGTAGTAGTTGAAACAAGGTTTCCGAAGATATAAAGAATGCCGAAATCCGAGTTATAACGAGAAGTTATGACCTGTCGAAGTTTCGCGACAGAACCGGCACGCTGAATAACGTAAAAAGTGAAATTTACGTTAGAGCGATATTTAGCCTTAGTGATCTAAACGAGAATCGAAGATCTCGTTGTTAGTATCAAAGCGATAAAAAGTTAGGCGAGAACGGACGTCAAACGAAGAAGTTATGAATTTATAACGAAATTTTCTGTCCCGGCCTATTAAAAATAAATAATAAAAATAAATCAAAATTAGCCGACGGAGTCTAAACGAAAGTTGTAGAGCGTAGTCTCACCTTCGCGTGGATATAAAGAACGTCGAAAACGGAGTTCGTATGAAGAGATATGAATTTTCGAAGTTTATTAAATAATTAATAATTAAATTTAATTATTAAATCCGGCCTTATCCGAAGACGAGTCACCGGACTCATCCGGAGTACGCCCCGTACTCGAGTACGCCCCGCGTACGCAAGAAGTGTCGACACTTCGGATGACGCATGCAGTGACGATTTCGGAGCCCTGTACGCCTCGCGTACGAGGAGGTTCCAGCCTCCTATAAATAGGATGCGAGGGGTCCGGGTTTAATTGCTAATTTCCTCTCGTTTTTGTGCCGAAGCTCTGCGCGTAAACCCCGAAGCCCCGGTAATATTCCCGAGTCCCGAAGCAAGTCCCGAGATCCCGAAGATCCCGAGAAGTGCGGTTTCCGAGCCGAAGCTCTGCCCGCGAGAAGTTCGATTTTTGTAGAGATCTTCCAGATCTGCTGAGGATTACTACTTTTGCAAGTCGTAGTGTTGTCCGATCATCTTCTGATCAAGTGAGTGTATACTACCTTTCATAAACGCAATAATAATACAAGTATGGTTTGAGTGTATTAAGTATATTGTTGTTTATACGTGTGAGTGCGTTGTTACTTTCTCCTAACGTATAATTATGAAGTATTTTATACGAGATACGTGTTATGTGTATATTTTGTTGTTATGTGTGTGAATGTATATTCACTTTCTTCTATCTTACAGATCTGATTATTTCTATATGAAATACGTGTTATGTGTGTGTGCCTCATCTGTTATATGGAAAATGTATTGATCAAGCATGCTATACAGGTTTTGAAAATATGTATAAAAATGTATGTTTTTATCTACTAATATGTTGGGTAGAACATGGGTAGATAGTTGGTGTGTAATAAACAGATGAGAGGCCTCGTTGTTGTTTTGATCCAGTCATCTAGCGGAATTTAGATGACGACCACGGACTTTTCTAGACAGTCCAGTGGAACGCTAGCAGGCTCATAACCTGTAGGTGTTAATGAACTTGGGTGTTCATTCGCTGTATTCCATCCCCCTCATGGTTGCCTTATTTGACTTATATTGCTGAGGAACCCCCGCAGCATGTGTTGTCACCCCGATGAAAATATTCTTAGATTAGGTCCCTTGTGTTAGTTATTTTAGGGACATAAAGTGAGAATAACGGGAATGGGTAACTGGGTTATTGTTGGTTGATAATAATTAATTTAATTATTTATTGTGGGTTGAAAACCCTATATGCTCACCAGGCTCCCAAGCCTGACCCACTCAGTTTTATTTGTATTACAGGAAGTGGCGCAAGGGCGTAAGATAGATGAACCATCAAGTTGTTTTGTTTACAAGTCTGTATATGTATATATTTGTTGAATGACTTGTAATGTTATCGTTTATGCTTATTGGTCTATATCGGAACATGACACCCCGAGTTTTGAATATATAATGAAAAATACATTTCTTTTATGAAATGCTTTGGTAAACATTGTTTTATCATGTTTTGTTTTTGGGAACAAATTCCGCAACTCTTTCAAATCAAAAGGATTTACTCTGAAATTATTTTAAAAGCATAAATGAAAATCGGTCTTTTCTGGCCGAGATTTTGGGGATGTCACATGTATAGACTGGATAAAGCTGTATATGGACTGAAGCAAGCTCCCAGGGCCTGGTATGAGACGTTGACATCATATCTCCTTGAAAATGGCTACAGAAGAGGAGCAATTGATAATACACTCTTCATCAAAAACAAAGGCTCAGACATGATTCTTGCTCAAATCTATGTCGATGATATCATCTTTGGCTCTCCAAATGAGAAGCTGAGCAAGGAATTCGCTGAGATCATGTCTCAAAGGTTCGAGATGAGCATGATGGGGAAGATGACCTTTTTCTTAGGTCTTGAGGTTCAGCAACAAAAATCAGGTATCTCAATTTGTCAAAGTAAATATATTGTTGACATGCTTGTTAAGTACTCTCTCAACGACTGCAAACCGGCCTCTACTCCGGTGTCCAAGACTGATAAGCTACACGCTGATCCCACCGGCACTGATGTCGATCACTCTCTTTATCGAGGAATGATTGGATCTCTTCTCTACCTCACTGCAAGTCGCCCTGATATCATGTTTGGAACCATTCTCTGTGCTAGATTTCAAGCTAATCCCAAGGAGTCTCATCTCATTGCAGTTAAACGCATTTTTCGATACTTAAAGGGCACTCAGAACTTGGTATTGTGGTACCCTCGTGACTCAACACTTGAACTCTTTGGATACACTGATTCCGACTATGCAGGATGCAACTTAGACAAGAAGAGCACGTCAGGTGGATGTCATTTCCTTGGAAATCGACTAATCAGCTGGTCTAGCAAGATGAAACCTCAGTAGCTATCTCCACTGCAGAAGCTGAGTATGTTGCAGCTGGGAGATGTTGTGCTCAACTCTTATGGATTCAAAACCAACTTTTAGACTATGGGCTTAAATTCACAAAGACTCCTATATACTGTGATAACACCAGTGCCATTCAGATCACACAGAATCCTGTTCAGCACTCACAGACAAAGCATATCGAGATCAGACATCACTTCATCAGAGACAATGTTGAGAAGGGCAAGGTTGTTCTAGAACATGTCAAGACTTCAGATCAACTAGCTGATATTTTCAACAAGGCCCTGGATACTCAAACTACTGCTCACATTATTGGAGAACTTGTAATGATCACTCTGGATTAAAAAAAATGTTTTACTAATGTTTGCTATTGTCTTATAAACTGATGTATTTTTTGCTGATAATGATGTGCTGATGATGTTTACCATGTTGAGTACCTTGTATGATCTCTTATCTCTATCTCTTCTACAAATCTTCTAAACTAAAGTTGAATGATTCACTGTATTAAACCATACAGTGATAACAACTTGAAACTCTTTGCTGATGGTTAGACAAAACACCAAGATCTATCACACACAACTATCCCTTCTTACCAATCTCACACTGATTCTGTGATTCAGTGTGACAAAACACATGCTGATGAGAGTCTAACAGTCTTTGCCGATGGTTAGACCAAAACACCAAGGTCTATCACACGCAACAATCCTCTCTTCACCTTCTTCTCACTCAGTGTCTAATGATTCAATAAGAAGAACCACTCACTGATAAAGACTCAACACTCTGTGCCGATGGTTAGATAATTAAACCAGAATCTATCACACGCATCAACCACCTTGCTAACCTTAAACAAGCAAGTTGTACTTTGAATTGACGACAGATTATCTTTCAGCATGTAACTTTTAGTGACACTGATCTCAGCGCTTTCGCAGACACTGATTGTCGTTTCCTCTTCATTACAACGGCTTATTTTTTTTCAACGACTATTTTTTCAAATTTGACAGTTTGTTAAGATACACAGTTTTTTTTGAAAAAGATAATCATTACCTTTTTTTAAACCATTTAATCCCATATTTAAACCTCTTTCCCCACTTCTCTCCCAAACTTTCCTCCCACAATTTAATTTTCCTTCTCTTTTCTTCAAAACCCTAGAATCCAAACTCTCTTCAATGGCGGCATCACTGTTTACTTTCTCCTCCACCTCAAGAAGAGTCATCCCAGCTCCAAACTCTCCCTCTTTTCCCATATACATCAAAGCCACAAATGTCGTCTTCAACCCTGATATACCAGATGTTCATCACGGTCTTGGACTTGATGATTTTGTCAATTTTCTAGCATCTTGCAGACTTGAATATGCTATCAAGGAGGTTCCATCAGATTTCTTTCCCGAACAAGTATGTGACTTCTACTACACCGCAACAGTCAATAATGAAAACAACATCATCTCCGGCACTATTGGGCGTGGCCGTCGCTCAATTTTCATCAACGCTGATCTCCTCCATACTGCACTCAGGTTACCAATTTTTGAACCATTCTCTGAGCTTCCAACTATTGAACGTTGCCGACGCCTCTTTGACCAACTGGGCTATGATCACTCCAAGGCTAGTGCTCGACCAGCTCTCATTCTACGTCAATGTATGACTCCTGGATGGAAGTTCTTCACCGGGGCACTTTGTAAGTGCATAGGTCACAAATCTCGCAGTGGTGATCAACTGAGTGCTTTTGAGCAACAAGTGGTATGTTCACTTCTCCTCAACAAGCGTATTGATTATGGGGCTTTCTTCTTCGATCAGCTTGCCCAACTTCTTCGGGCCAATGTAAGAGCTGATCATGTTCCGTTTCCATGCTAGATTGCTCTTGTCCTGGATAAATTTCATTCTGAAGCCTATTACTCACACGCTGGAAACCCCATCTAATGCCCACGCATATCAGTACGAATGTATCAGGATGATCCACTGGCTAATGACATCGGCATCTCTGATCGGATGCAAGAATGGATCGCGAATCCATATACCGTTCCTTCACTAAACGCTGACACTGACGAAGGAGCTGCTGATAATGACGAAATTCATGCTGAAATACAAGCTGAAATTCAAGAAGGTGGTCATATCTCCCCTCAACTTTCTCATCATACTATTTCTGTCACTGAAAGGGTTCATTCAGCTCATGAGCAGTCATCTGCTTAGGGGGAGCAACCATCTCAGGGGGAGCAACCATCTCAGGGGGAGCAACCATCTCAGGGGGAGCAGCATCGATCACAAGAAATTCCAGGTACTCAGCTCATTCAAATTTTGGCCTCAGCATTTAATGAGCTTCTTACACTGACTCGAGATATGAGTCAGCGTCTTCTACGTATTGAGGTTGATGTCAACCAACTGAAGGGAGTTATTCTGTCAATTCCTTCCCCTGGCCCAAATGATGATGATGATCAAAAAGGGGGAGAAACTAATTCTGTTGATAGAACCTGTGAGCATGGATCTGGGGGGGAACATTGTAAAAAAGACTGAGCCACCACAGCCTGAGCACGAGTCTGAAAGACTAGCAGAAACTGAAAAGCCTACTGAAGAATGTGAACATGATGATGAAGATGAACATGATGATGAGTGTCAGATGCTGGACATGAACTTCATAGATCCCACTTTGCCAGATCAAGGTGAAAACTCAGATGTAGTTAATGAGGATCTTGTTCCTTTATCTCGAAAGCGAAAGGCAGCAGACACTGAATCATCTGATTCACATGTTGATACTTCTCCTCCTAGCAAGAAACATAAGTCCACTGTCAGCATATCAAATCTGGCAGTTGAATGGAATATGACCCCTAATCAAGTTAAGCAAAACCTTGATGAAGCCAACAAAGCTCAGCTTCTAAAGAATATTGATCAAGCTGATGAATCCCTCATTCAGCACAAACTTCAGGCAATGGGATCCTTTGAAGCTCAAATGAAAAGGTTTCTAGAATAACAGTCCAAAACTAAATCTTCACAGCCTCCTTCTACTAGCAGTAAGTCAAGGACTGATAGTGTTCTTGACAGGATCGATCGCAAAAGGTTTCAAGATGTTTTCAAACAAAGAGTAAGCAATGACAAGATCATCAAAGTTAAAACCTCAAAACCTCGTGACAAGAAAATCCTTACTTTCCTGATCACTCGTCAAGGTCCTCAACATCCGTACACTGAAATTATAAAGAGAGACGAGATGATTAGATACGGATACTCTGAATGGATGGAATTGCTCGAGTTGGCATCCAAGCAAACTTCAGCTCTTTCTTCAGAACTGACCTGTGCTCTTCACTTACTAATCAAGAAAGTTCAGCGTCTTGATCTTGTTCCTACAGAGCGTCCTCAGCAGCAAGGCCCAAGTTCCTCAGTTCCAAGAATCAGAAGAACTAGATTTCAAGTTGATGGTGAAGATGTATTGGTTCTAAATTTTGGTGCTGAAGAAATAAACAACTCTCTTCCTATTGGTGTTGAGCCGGTTCAACATCAGTTCATCTCTGTTCCTGAACATGGAATGTTTTATCTTGATAAGAACAGGAAAATGTGTTTTCAACGTACTGCAGAAATTCCAAGAGATCCAATAGAACATCTTGTTGGTTTAAGACAAATGTGCATGAGTCATCAAGATCTCTCTGGAGAGTTTCATATACTGATTTCTATGGAGTTACTGAATAAAAGACATGAGCTTCTAGATAGTCCTTACTGGCCAGTGAAAGTAGAAGTTGAAGCTAAGTATGAAGAATTTTTGTCCAGGGGTGTTCTAGTCTAGCTGGTTTTGAACATCATCATATTGGGGGAGATTGTAAGGTCGAACCTTATAATATGATGATGTTTGAGACTGATCACTCAGCGTCAGCGTATGACATAGCGTCAGCGTCAGCGTATTAATTACTCAGTGTATAGTTTCATATTCAGAATTTTGTAACAGATTTGGTACTTATCTAGTTTCCATAGTTTTCATATATTAGTTAGTTGGTATATCCCTGATTTGTAGGGATTGCCTAGATTAGTTCTATATAGTCTTTTGTACAAGTTTGTAAAAGGGCATCTTTCAAAAACCCTAATAGCCGCTTTGTGCATTCGATAATCTCTTTGTGAGATTATCATTCTTAGTGAAAGTTTATCTTTGTGAATCCTCGTTGTTCTTGTTTATAGTCATTGTTTGATAATTTGTTTGATCTTAGGAAATATCACAACCTCCTCCCACCAATCCCGTGCCCTGTCCTTCAGAAGATAGGACACCAATCTGACCTTGTCCCCCTCGGGACATCTTCTAGTTCGGAAAGCATTGGCCCCATCTGCCAACCAGTTGGTACTCGCTATGGGGTCCCGCGCCCTGTGATAATCTGGAGCTCCGCATGCCCGAAACTCCCTAAAATTAAGCGTACGCGACCCCATCATGGCCGCCACCACAGCACGGAAGGTGCTCAATCTCTCGTCTATCAACTCTAAGATACCCTCCTTTGTAACAACCAAAAATTTCAACAAAATTTAGACTTTTCAAAAACAACCCATTTTAATAATGTTATTACAAAAAGGTTTTCAATACATTTATTATCAGAGTATTCCCAGAACCATAACATAAAACATAAACACGAGGAGCGGTACGATCACGCCTTCGCCTTGCCACGGTCTCCTGAAGAACATGAAAAACATTAAACCACAATTGTAAGCCCAAAAGATTAGTGAGATACCCCCAAAATACCAACCACATACATGCCCTTCCAGGCTACTACCTTCCGGTCCAAATCATAATGCCTTCCGGCCCATAACATAGTGCTTTCCGGCCCATAACATACATAGCATACATAACATAACAAAACATAGAACAGCCATGCACTTCGGGTCTACTGTGTGACCGGTCCGCCATGTTGGGCCTTCAGTCCACCGGGCCCATCCTCCGAGTCTAGTCATGTCCCTCGAGTCTGCAGTGTGGTTGGTCCGCCCGCACCGGGCCTTCAACCCACCTGGTCCACTCTCTGAGTCTACAGTATGACTGGTCCGCCCGCATCGGGCCTTCAGTCGGCATGGTCCACTCTCCGAGCCTCGGCACATCTGGTCCGCCCTCGTGGGGCCTACAGCCTATCCGGACCGCTCGTTGGGCCTTCAGAATAACCGGTCTGTCCTGGGTATGTTGGCCTACAGCACAAAGCAGGACCCTCCTCAACCCAACTCCAGTCCAAACAATCATGTGCACATAAACATACAATCATATAAGAGTTCGCAGTCAACAAGCCGATCAACAGATCACATAACATATCATCATCCTAATCAGGATACCAACCTAACCGGTCACTAGCATAGCATCACCCTAAATATCAGGAAACCGACCTTAACCAAGTCTCTAACATATACCATCCTAGCTACCAGGATGCAGACATATCAAAGCAATAACATAACAACAAATACCCGAATCTCAATCCGATAAAGGGCTGGCCTTGGTGCCTTAGACCCTATCGATATAGTGAGGATAACTCACCTCGCACTGCCGAAACTCTGAAGTGAAGAGCAGATTCTCGAATCACCAACTCACAGCAAATCCTGAACTAGCCATCATAACAAAATAAACATTAGGCCAAGCATACATTCACTTATCGGGCCAAGACCCAAGTCCAAATCTTGTACAAAGTCCAATATTGGCCCAATTTACCAAATTGGGCCCACCTCACCAAATGGGCCTAGATCCAATGTCCATAACAATAATTGGACCCAAAAATACTCTATCCACAATTTCCAAACTTGGCCCAATAACCAACAACCCACAAACGACCCAAAGTCAAAGGCCCAATATTATGGTCCAATTAGGGGGAGTACGTTGGGTGTACCTTCCTTGGTACGCAGGGCGTACACACTGAAACGTAACTAGGGATCAGGGCTCTGGCCCGCTACGTGGGGCGTAATCATATGTTACGCGGGGCGTAACTGCGATATTCATTAAGTCATTATAACTTCTTAATGGATTAAGCTATTAACCCCAAACTTCAGATCCCTAAGCCAAATATGATTAGAATTCATAAAGACTCAAACTTTATCACTTGGGACGTCCATAAGCTCTTAATCCAAGGTCTTAATCCATTAAGACCTATATACCTCACACATGGAACAACTACAGCCCTTGGGACCTCATTTTTCTCACTCAAGACCTCTCCAAAGGTCTGAAAGGACAGATAATCTCGGCCAACACAAAGCATGAATCAAGATGAGAACTTTGGGACAAGAAAGATGCTAAAAACTTCACAACACTTAGATCTATGCAAAATAAGTGGCAAGAAAGAAGCTTTATACCTCAAATAAGCTTCAAAGGATGATATCTCTTCAGATCTACAAGCTCCAATCGTTCCTTCCCTTCTTTGACAACTTCTCCTTTCTTCTTCTAGCTTTTCTTTTCCCAAAATGAACTTTCCAAGGCCAAACACACCCAAAAATGGAGGGAATACGGGTTTCTAGGGTTTCTGAGGTTAAGGATGAGCTTAAGGAAGCTAGGGTATGAACCAACATGTTCCTTATATAGTGGTGGCCCTTAAATTAGGGTTTGGGGTTTCTGAGAGTACGTTGGGCGTACTCACCTGGCCACCCCGCACATTTCCTTTCACTACGTTGGGCGTACGTCCAGCTTACGCTGGGCGTACCCAGCCAAACCCAAAATTCATGCATGGAAACCCTTTTTCCATTTTTCCATTAAGAGCTATAATTTAATTATCATTTTCAAAACGCCGCAACTCCTTTACTCTAAACCCGCTCCCAATAGACTGTACGTTCACACGAGGGTGACGAGAAGCCTTATGCTTCTAACAACATACACCAGTCCGAAACCTTTTCGGATGAAACCCATTTCCCGAAAAAGGGACCAGAATTACCCTTCCTCTTAAATCTCAGGAACTCGTAATTAAACACTTTAAGAACGGGGTGTTACATCCTTGATCGAACCGAAGATCATAGGAGTCTGCTCAAGTATGGTGCGAGTAATCTCTGAAGAGAGAAACTCCCTAGTCTGCTCATCCAACTGTCCGGCCTTCGGGCCTGGTCCTGATCCCCCTTCGGCACCTGAAATGCTGACTGCTAGTCTAGGGCGTAATACCACCATTCTGAAACACAACATAATAAAAGTCAGGAACACTAATATATCTCGAGGAATCACTACTACCACAAGTTTCCTGGTCTCATCTCAGCTTTCCTCGATTCGAGTACGGATCCTCTGCTTTCAGTTGTACGGGCCCATACTACCTTCCACATCTATCCGTACTTTCGTCAAGTATCGCCTTGACTCCACCAAGTCAATATTACTGCTAACAATCTCTGCTACTCCCATCCTATGCTTGACCTAGGGAAATCTATGACTTACCCGATCCAGTCCTCAGCTGCTGAAAGCCTCCTTGTGATGCCAATGAGCCATTACCTGAATACCATCACTTGCGGCGAGGCTCAGATAATCCTTCGAGTAAAAGACTCGTCCCTACGATGGTGAGACTCAAACAAGAGCTGCGCAATAGGGCCAAATCTAGCACTCTGAG